ATTTAATGCTATAACTAGTACTCAAACAGTATTTTCCACTTTATGTTTCAGTGTGGGAGCAAACGGTTGAAATCTTTACTTAATGTATGCTAACACTGATCTTCTGTATATAAGATAATCGAAAATGAATCTTGATGTGAATGGAAGGGGAGAGGGAGTGGGAAAGGGGAGGGTTACGGGTGGGAGGGACGTTATGGGGGGGGGGAAGCCATTGTAATCCATAAGCTGTATTTTGGAAATTTATATTCATTAAATAAAAGTTTAAAAAAATAAAAATAAAAAAAGACCTACTATGAAGTCAATCAGGCTCTTTAAGTATATATGTATATATTATGAAAACCTATAACTAATGTTAACAGGACCAAAATAAATATAAGAATACAATTTCAAAGTCACATTAAAGATTTATAATGTCAAATGTTATCAAGAAAAATATTACATGTAGAGAGAAGTAGTTCACAAAGATTTGATAGATAATGAGTAATGTGAGATGCTAGCGTTTTTCATATTTGTAGATAAGCAGTAATAATTACATGAAAGTAAATTATTTTGGAAACAAAATTACAAAATTCAAGTTTCAGTGTTACATTTTCAAATTCTGTACATGTTTTCCTTTCAATTTTAAATGGAATATATAATAAAACTGATTCAGGCAAGATGAGAGACGAAATCTCAAAAATTTCTAATGTATTTGTATGGGACCAATTTGAATATGGAGCAATAAGATATTAAAAATCACTAATTAAAAGGCAAACCCTCTGTGTCTGTGCATACATTTAGAGTTCTATTTAATGTAATGTACTGAGCTGGTAAGTGATCACTCAACTATTTTACACTTCTTCTGCTCTGAACTCTATGCATATCCTGAAGAAAAAAGAACAACATAGAACAACATACGCAGCCACGTGTGAAAGCAAGAAACAGTAGTCACCAATTACCAGCATCAGAGGGAATTTCATTAAAAGACATTTGGTACCTAAAGAGAAAAGCATGAATAAAAGGATTCAAAATGAGACAAAGTCCTTAAAAGTAGGGACCAAAATTAATTAAATCTATAGAATGTTGAACCTTTCTGCTTTTTTTAGTAATTTTATTTAAGGCACACAAATTTTATACATTTCCACATATAGATTCAGGAACATAGCTGTACACCCCCCTCGACCTCTTGCCTATGCTCCCACTCTTCTTCCTCCTCACTCTCCTAGTCTCATTCTTAATTTTTACAAGCATCTATTTTCAGTTAACTTTATTCTCATAAGATTAATCCTACACTAAATAAGGAGTTTAACAATAGTATGAAGAAATGCTGTTCCTTAACACTAGGGACGAGGACTGTTAAAAATCAAAATTGAAAAGTTTCAAAATGTCAATTTCACTTCTATATATTGCCTTTTAGATACTCTATTCTTTACCACACATCAAAGAGAAAATACAGCATTTGGCTATTTTGGGACCGGCTTATTACACTAAGTATAATAATTTCCAGTTGCATCCATTTTGTTTAAAAAGACAGGATTTTATGTTGTTGTTGTTATCACTGTGTGGTACTTCATAGTGAATTGAGCTACGATAAACACGGGAGTACTGGTCTAGCCAACGTGGAAGTCACTATGGAGATGTCTCAAACATCTGAATATAGACCTACCATGTGATAACCCAGCCATCCCACTCCTGGGAATTTACCCCCACAAAAAGAAATCAGTATACCTTTCTGAACCTTTCTGCTTTAAGCATAAAATAATTATATTGGGGTGCTAGAAAAATATCAAGAATTATAATGTACCTGTAGTTGTCCCTAGGATACAGCACAGTTAGCCAAGACGCCATTCTCAAGGGATCACTGCATGACACAAGTTATTTAGAATATTTGCAGAAGTCAATACCTATGATGATTTGAGAAAATAATCAACCATACATGAGGGTACTTCAAAAAGTTCATGGGAATGGAATTAAAAGATAAATTTATTTTTGCCTACAAAATGTTGAAATCCATGTGTAAATTTTCATAATGTGCATTTTTTCATAAACATTTTGGTGTCTTCTTGAATGCTTGGGCTTCAAAGTTTTCACAACAAAATGAACATTTTTAATTCCAATTTTTCACAGATTTTTGAAGTACCTTCTAGAATAGTAAGTTTTCCTACATGAATTAGATTCAGAAAAAATAATCAGAGTATGTTTTAACTAAGATCTATTTTCATTTAACTTAATACACATACAGTTAACTGTGTTAAATAAAGGGTTCAGGGTCTGGGCACTGTGGCGCAGCAGGTTAATGTCCTGGCCTGACGTGCCAGGCATCCCATAAGGGCGTCAGTTCGAGACCCAGCTGCTCAATTTCCTATCCAGCTCTGTGTTATGGCCTGGGAAAGCAGTACAAGATAGCCCAAGTCCTTGGGACCCTGCACCCATGAGAGAGACCCAGAAGAAGCTCCTGGCTCCTGGCTTTGGATTGGTGCAGCTCTGGCCGTTGCAGCCAATCGGGGAGAGAACCACCAGATGGAAGACCTCTTTCTCTCTCTGCTTCTCCTCTATCTGTGTAACTCTGACTTTCAAATCAATAAATGAATGTTTACAAAAATAAAGAGTTCAACCATTAGTATGAAAGAAAAAAAGGGTATGTAAAATAAGATAAAATAAATGAAAAGAAAGAAAAAATACAAAAGCACAAAAAACGAACCTGTTCCTCAATAGTCAAGGCATGTGCTGTTCCATGTATTTTCTCTCAAAATGTTGATTTCATTTCTACATGTTGCCTTTTATGTGCTCTATTAGTTATCACAGGTCAGTGAGAACATATGGTATTTGTCCCTTTGGGACTGGCTTATTGCACCAATGATGATGTTTTCCACTTCATCTGTTTTGTTGCAAATGACTGAATTTCATTTGTTTTTACTGCTATGTAGTATTCCGTGGTGCACATATCCCATAACATCTTTATCCCGTCTTCAGTTGATGGGCTTCTAGGTTGATTCCATGTCTTTGATTTGTGTATTGAGCTGCAACAACATGGAGGTACAGGTAGCTCTTTCATATGCAGATGTCATTTCCGGTGGGTGCATTTCCAGGAGTGGGATGGCTGGATCATACGGTAAGTCTGTGTTCATGTTTTCTGAGATAGCTCCCTACTGTCTTCCATAGTGGCTTTACTAGCATACATTTCCACCAACAGTGGGTAAGGGTACTTTTCCCCCACATCCTCACCAGCATTTGTTGTTTGTAGATTTCTGTAGGAAAGCCAGAATGTGGTTTTAAAGCAAATATAGTCCAAATGTTAAGGTTGGATAATAGGTAACATAAGTCTATTAATCAGAAAAATATTCACTGATTACCTAAATTTAATTTTATAAAATAAATACCTAAATGGGTCAATAAAAATAGGATAGAATATTGAGAAAATTCGTAAATTTTGTGCTTTCCTAACTGAATCTTGACAGAACCTACAATAGAAGTCCCCTAAATTCTCTAAAGAATTCTCAGTAAACAGATTAAAATGCAAAAGAGTTATTTATTAACATGTTACATCAAGGCCTTCTTGATTTTGTGCATTTAAATTCTCTTGATTCTGGTTGTGTTCCTGTCTACAACCATCCATCTTATGCTCTATTGAAGTATTTGTAAACTGATTCAGTGTTTTTGGGTCAATATCAATCTCATTATATCCTGACTCTTGAAGCCTGTTATCATGACTCATCAATCGAGCTCCAAAACTCACCTTCTTTCACCTAGAATTTCAGATTAATTTTTAACCAAGTCATCTGACCTTCATTGATCTCAGTTCTTTGCTGGTTACATCAAACCAGGGTCATGATGATAGCGGTTTCATTTATGAATAGTAAATTTGTAGCAAATAACAAATTTCCCTTCATGTCTTTTCCACACCAAAGATGTGTCAATTAAAAAAAAAACACAATTAAAATAAGAGCAGTATATGAATAAAAAAGATATGAATGGACCATAAGCACAAAGAAGATGTTCAGTCAGGTTAACAATTATGGGTTTCTCAACAAAATCAATGATACATGTTCCTATAATTTGATTTGTGAGTAGAACTATGAATAGACCCATTCACACATTAGGGGGAATCAAGAAGCTATATGGGAAAATCTAAACTGTATGATGTACTTCAGATATTTTTTCATATCCACCTATATTCATTATGCAGACAGCAATTAACATTAAATCTTTTCTAATAATATCTTTAGTGCATACAATAGTGTGGGCATTGCTTGAAGGGAAAAGATCAAAGAATAGGGTAAGTTTTGTGCCAGGATTAGGCCAGCACATGGGAAATCAATCTGAATACCCCATGTGACTGGTAAGATCTCAACCATTTGAAACATCACCTTGTTCCTCAAAGGTGTGCACTAGCAGGAAGCTATAATCACAGCAGATGTAGAACATGAACCCGGCAATGTGACATGGGAAGTGGACATGCCAGTGTTATTGGCTACATCGAATGATTGCTCCAAGGGCTTCTATTTGGAGTAATGAAATGTTCAAAAAGTTTTAGTGATGGTGGTTGCATATTCATATGAATAGTATACTACAACATTGAATTATACACTTGAGTTGTGAATTTAGAATTTTATGTATGTAAATTATACTCTGTGAAAATCTTTACAAATAATCTCTTGGACCATACTGTGCAGGAAATGTGGAGAAGCAGCAAAATTACATTATCTCTATTTTTGGGTCATGTCATTGCCTCTCATTTGCCACAGCTCTTGACACTATTCTACACTTTTACATAACATGGTTGACTTGTACACACAGGTCATTGTCTCAGAGCTAAGTGAAAATACTTAATTATAAAAAGACACTAATATCATTCATATAAACATAAAATCATTTACCTTGGCTTTTCCACCTACCATCCCAGTCCTTCGCTCTGAGTGTTTATACAATATAATTACTTAGATCAATGTCAAGTTATATTTTAACTTGTTAAATTTCTTCATGGATATAAACATGAGTAGTGACATAAAGGGACAGCAATTGGAGAGGAAGCACTGATTTCACCAAGATGTCTGTGATACATGTTTCAGTTCTGCTGTTGCTGCTACAGCTGAGTTGTTGCTTCAGAACTGGGAGCTGTGGAAAGGTGCTGGTGTGGCCTGTGGAGTACAGTCACTGGATGAATTTAAATGTAATCCTGGATGAACTTGTCCGGAGAGGTCATGAGGTGATTGTTCTGAGAAATTCAGCTTCCATTTTCATTGATCCAAGCAAACAAGCTAATATTAAATTTGAAACTTTTCCTATTGCTGCCACCAAAGATGACCTGGAAGATTTTTTTGTACACTTTGTTAGTACATGGACAAATGCACGCCAGAACTCACAATGGAAATATTTTTCACTACTGCAAAAGCTCTTTTCAGAATATTCTGACAGTTGTGAAAATTTCTGTAAAGAAGTAGTTTTCAACAAGACACTCATGACAAAGCTACAGGAGTCAAGATTTGACATCCTTCTTTCAGATGCTGTTGGTCCTTGTGGTGAGCTGCTGGCCGAGCTGCTTAAAATACCCTTTGTGTACAGTCTCCGCTTCACTCCCGGCTACACTATGGAAAAATATAGTGGAGGACTTTCAGTTCCTCCTTCCTATGTTCCTATTATTCTTTCTGATTTAAGTGGGAAAATGACATTCATGGAGAGGGTAAACAATATGCTATGTATGCTTTATTTTGACTTCTGGTTTCAAATGATTACTAAGAAGAGGTGGGACCGATTTTATAGTGAAGTACTAGGTAAGCCATGTATTTTGTTGGTAATGTCGAGTCCTAACTTTGTTATAACTGTGAATCTGAGGTTGTATGAACAGAAAGTCAGAGGAATATTTCTTTTATGAAAAAATAGAAAGATGAAATGATTTATTAATCTCTCAGATGTTATGGATAAATATATATTCCAGGTCAGTGAGAAACCAGAGGCTCATCACCACGATATGGCATCGTAGGAGGTCACACAAATCCAAATAGAACCCTGAAGATTTCTCTAAGGAATTCCATATCCATTTTTTCATAATTTACTTGTTGTATAGATAAGCCAATGATAATTCACTACCATCTTTATTCTTTATTTTTTTCTTTCCTAATATCATGGTGGATGGAGACATGAAGATCAATGTGCTACAGATTTTAGCCCAAGTGTCTATAAGAATAATTGAGTAAATTGTTTACCTGGTGGGCAAGGGTTTCCTTATTTAATCATTAAAGAATTTTTCAACATAACCTAAATGGTTCTTTCACAACTGAGATATAAAATGTTTTATCACAGACTGAAAAACCTATTATTTGAGGATTCTATTGATGCCATATTACATTATTATCTCTTTATAAATATCTCATTGAAGAATAGATATATATGTAATTAGTCAATTTTTTAGAATTATCTTTCTTGAGTAAAAATGAGTTGAAACTAATGGGGAACACAAATGCACTGTTTTATAATTTAAAAAATACTTTCAGCGATGATCATAATTATTTATATATCAATTTCTGTGTAAATAAATATTGGTATTTTCTTTAAGTGAACCCCAAACAACAATCAGTATAAGGAACTCAGTCACACTCTTAAACATCTCACAGTGTGGGGCTGGTGTTGAAGTAAGTTAAACTGCCACTTGGAACTCTTGCATCCCATACTAGAGTGCTTGATCCAACTTCCTTCATATATGCTCAGAGGGCAGATGGTGATGGCCCAAGTACTTGGGTCTCTGCCACCCATTTGGGAGAACCACAAGGACTTCATGGTTCCTGGCTTCAGGGTGGTCTAACCTTGTCTGTTGTAACCACTTGGAGAATGAATAAGCAGATGAAGTTTTCTCCCAACCTCTCTCTCTGTATTTATTCAAATAAACATAAATGAAGTAGAAGAAGGAGGAAGAGGTGGAGGAGGAGAAGGAGAAAAAAAAAAAAAAAGAAAATAAGCAGGAGGAGAGGACAAAGAAAACCTCACAGTTCACCCGGAAAGTCCATACTGGCTCCAGCTTGCTAAATTGCAGAAACCAGACTGAGTACTGCCAGGAAAGTTCTATTCAAGATTATGTTCCCTTCTGTATCTAACATAGTTGTTTAAATTTGCATTTGCTACTTTTGCAACTTTACAGAAAAAAGAAATATGCATCTAATTCTATTGTGGATTATTATACTGAGCATGATTTTGTATATACAGAGGTGATACTAGAGACACAAGCTCTCTTTTCATTGGGTTTGTATATATCTAATATGTAAAGAATGTGTACAGGGTACTCATATCGTCACTGACTGTATCACTTCAACATCTCTCAGAACTTTACATGCAATACCTCACATCACAATTCTCTCTTTACCTTGCCTTTTCTCTCCCCATTCAGGAAGACCTGTTACATTCTCAGAGCTAGTGGGGAAAGCTGACATGTGGCTCATTCGAAGCTACTGGGACTTGGAGTTTCCTCGCCCAACCTTACCAAATATTCAATTTGTTGGAGGGCTCCACTGCAAACCTGCCAAACCTCTGCCCAAGGTAAACAGATTCCTATTTGCTCTGTTCTGTTTGTTTTGCATTTTCAGTGCATATGATCTTTCATTGTTCATTTAGAACATTTGGCGCATAGGGAGAAAGTTATGAAAACCAGATAAAGTGGCCTATTAACTACAAACACATATCTTCTAGACAATCACAATATTCAGATTTCGTGATCATTGGAGAACCGTGTGTATTACCTAAGAGATTCTGTTAAAAAAAAAAAAAGGTAGAGTTTAGTATAAGAGAATTAAGTTGACTATAAGGTTGATTTCTCTAGAGAGAGAATTTGTATCCAGAAAAAAATGAATAAGTTAAAATACCTAGTGAGGGCATTGGAGAGAGGACCTGAGAGGAGATAAACCGAGGAGAGATATGACCAAATGAGGGAAGTATGGTTTTCTTCTTAGAATTGTATATATGAAATACATGAAACATATTCTAATCTTTTAATAAAGTTCTTTTTTAAAAAAAAAAGCCTGCAGTATACAGTGATTGATTCATCTGCACAGAGCCAGAGCCAAGACTGAGGAAAGAAGAATCATTCAGGAGGTTGCTGTAAGAGTTCAGACACCGGGGCCGGTGTTGTGGCATAGTGGGTAAAGCCACTGCCTGCAACACGGATATCACATAAGGGTGACAGTCCCAGCTGATTCCCTTCCTATCCATCTCCCTGCTAATGGCCTTTGAAATCAGTGGAAGATAGCCTAAATGTGTGTGCTCCTGCCACCCACATGAAAGACCCGGATGAAGCTCCTGGGTCTTGGCTTCAGCCTGGCTTAGCCTTAGCCATTGTGGCCCTTTGGAGAGGGAACCATCAGATGGAAGATTCATTCTCTCTCTCTCTCTCTCTTTCTCTCTCTCTCTCTCTCTTTCTCTCTCTGTCTCTGTCTTTGTCTCATTGTTTCTCCCTCTCTTTCTTAGTAACTTTGACTTTCAATTACATAAGTAAACCTTAAAGCACACACACACACACACAAACATACACAGTTTCACTACAGATGATATGTAGCTAAAAGTTAACATTCATAAACAAGATTATTGCTGATCATCTAAGAATACCATCCTCATGTTGTGCTGTGTGAGAGTGTGAGAAATATGGTTATTAAAAGTCAAGTTCAAAATAAAAATGTGTGATACCAAAAGGAACTGATTTTAGTCTGAAACATCTGCACTTCTGTATATTGCTCCACTGTTCACATTGGCCAATAAATGGATACAACCCATGTATCTATCTACTGATGAACAAATAAAGAAAATATGTTAATTATACACAGTGGAATAACATTTGTTCATTCTTAAGTTGAATAATAAATGGTTAAGAAAAATAATACAAAAGTTGAAGGACAAGGAAAACAATGAGATGGGTTGATAATAATTTGAAATAATACAGGAATGAGCCTTGAATCAAAGGCATTGATTGTGAAATCTCTCTTATTCTTTTGTTAGTACTACCTTTATTCCCATAATAACTTGATTTTTCATGAATTATCAAATTTTCAGATAATCTCTACTCTGAGAAATTAGACAAGTGAGAATCTTAAAATAGCTTCTATGTTTGGTCATATAATATACTGATATGAAAATATAAGGAGGAAATAACATGTGTAATCAATAGGTACAGCAGTTATTTCTAAAATAAATATTGGAAATAACTAAATAGCCAGTATCACAAGGAATGAACAAATAACATATATATGTGTATGCCATACCATTACAATTCCTTTAGCAAAGAATCCTTAACAACACCAAATCATTCCAAAAAGGAGGTTTGTTGAAAACAGCAGGGTAAAGAAGATAAATAGAAAAAGAGCATATTTTCTCATACAAAAGAAATGTGGATTAGGATTATATTTCTTTAATATATATCCTAGAATGTACATTGTGTTTAACGTTCAGTTATCAGAAAAAAAAAAAATGTGTGACATGGTTTTCACACCAATACCTTTAAACTAAGAAATGGATAAGTGGCAAATTTTGCATACCATGGATTTACATCAGCTACTACTCCAATAATTCCTGATAATACTGTTATTTCCTTTGTTGTTCTTAGCAATCTTTTCACTAGTGTTTGCTGTGTGGCTGGCCTTTTGTGATGGTGCAAATTTTTTCTTCACAGGAAATGGAAGACTTTGTGCAGAGCTCTGGAGAAGAGGGAGTTGTGGTGTTTTCCCTGGGGTCCATGGTCAGCAACATGACAGAAGAAAGGGCCAATTTGATTGCATCGGCCTTTGCCCAGCTTCCACAAAAGGTTAGAAAAAGTATCCTAATGGTGGGGAGCTACTGGATGATTGTTTAACTCTGTAAAGGGACTGATTACAGAAACTTTTTTTTGAAATGTAAACAGCTATGATAGTTCTAATTCTTCTTAGATATCAATTTAAAAACAGAGACTTCTAAGATGCTAAAGGAGTGCTGAAGGTTTTTTATTTCAAATACTCTGGAATACATTTTGTGATTAGAAATAAATATATTTGAGATACAGCATAAACTTTAAGTTTTTTGCAAAGATTTATTTATTTATTTATTTGAAAGATAGAGAATTACACAGAGGCAGAGGCAGAGGCAGAGAGAAATCTTTCATCCACTTGTTCACTCCCCAGATAGCCATAATGGCTGGAGCTGTGCCGATCCGAAGCCAGGACCCAGGAGCTTCTTCCAGGTCTCCCAGGTGGATACAAAGGCCCAAAGACTTGGGCCATCTTTTACTGCTTTTCATGTCATAGCAGAGAGTTGGATAGGAAGTGGAGCAGCCAGGACTGGAATCTGTGCCCATATGGAATGCCAGCACTGCAGGTGGTAAC